CAAAAAAACTGTTGACCAGGGTAAGTAATTTACGGGATATGCAGCAAGAAGTTACATGATAGAAAGGTTAACTGTACGTCAGATGATTCTGCTGGATTTCTCGGATTTTGTGAGCTGAGGTGTCTCGTAATCTAGAATCCTATTATTTATTTATGATTTTTCATTAATTTTCTACTCGCTCACATCTTCTGAGGGGTCAGGATCCGGGATCGGAAGGGATGCAGTATGAGCGAGCTCATTTTGATATCACTTGTAGGGATTAAAGACACATCCCACAAAAAAAAAAAAAAAAAAAAAAAAAAAAAAAACCCATGATAGAAAAGTTTGATTAACAATTAGAACAAAAATTATCGACTGCATTTATTTTCACAGGGGAAGTTTGCGTATTATGCTCACCACTTCATGCTATTCTGCCGTGCTAAGGGAGAACGCCGTATGAACATTCGAGAGTTGCCGAATTTCCCTCAATAAAATGTTTATTTTTAAGGAAAGTTATAGTATTTTTCCTTTAAATATTCAGAATCTTTAGGTGAGATTGCGAATAAAATTATCTGAAAAATTTGGAGGAACATATTTAAAGTTTACCCAGAAATTCGCATTTTATCAAAGGAAATTTGGCAACGCCTGAAGGTTCATACGGCGTTTTCCCTTAGCACGGCAGTACTGTACGCATTGCGCCACTGATTTTGATTCGAGATCCGCCAACGCGTGACCTTGATAAAATCCCCTTTGAGAGTAGATGGGCAGGGTGAAGTTACACGTCCTGACCCCCGAGTTGCGTGACTTAGAATACACTTAAGACCGAAGTCTCCCTCAGGAAAAAAGGGAGTCCAGGAAGAGCGGAGTGTGGGGGGAAGCGTTACGGCAAAACTAAACTGCTGCTTTCAAACGCCCCAAGTTCGGCAATAGTAACAAAAAAGAAAAGAACGTACACACATCCGAGGAAAGCTTTTCCTCTCAATTAGCGGGAACCTTGATCGAAAAAATTCAAACTTTGAATATTTTCAGAAAACCGAAAAATATAAAGAAAATGTTCTATAGATCTGATACTAAAAATGGCACAGTTTACGGAAATGAAAATGAGGGCATTTGTGCATGAGACGTAGCGATATTCCTCGAGTGAGGTCAGAAATCTAAAATGAGTTTACGACGGATATCACGCACTAAGTACGTATTGAAAAACATTATTTGCGAGCAGTTTGTTTCATTCTTAGGAGGATGAAAAAAACAAAATTGTATCTTCAACCGACAATTTTGAGCCCTGCACAATGAACACATGGCAAATTAAAAATTTAAAAAGTTATTTTCCAACACATCAGAGCGTGAACAATCATATTTTTTTTGGCCCACCATTTATGGGAAAGGTTTGTAAGACACCTTTCTCTTCTACGAAGTGGAGGCGTTAATTGTGGGGCTTTAGGGAGTTTTTGCTAGGTACTTCAAGATACATATAACGTATTTAAAGTTTTGAAATGACATGGATCCTTGAGGCAAGAGGAAAGTTCCAACTGACTTTTTGATGCTTAAAAATTGGAATTCGGGAGCGAATTTTTCACAGAATATGCAATGGCCAATAAGACCAGTTTTACTTGAAAACATTAATGTCACATTTTTTCAAAGAAAGCACTTATGCGCGATGTCCTCCAAGCCCCTCAATTTACTTATGACTTTTTTAGCACTATACTTAATGCCCCTTTCCCGTCGATACCCACCGATTTAAAGAGAATAATAAACAGAGAAAAAAAGCTCCTCCATTTTCCCTATTTCCCGCTCTGAAACAATTAGGATCCGACCTCAAGGTAAGATAGCTAGAAATTCTCCTGGGAAGCCGAACAGTTTTGTAGAATACAAGGAAAATTGATTGAGGTAATTCGGGAATCCATCACACGTCCCAGGAGTTAGAAGAATGGGACCACATTTTGCAATGAGGAACCACTATTTCCGACTCATTTTAGAAACAACACATGTTCCAATGTTCCATTGGTTTCTCTATGCAGAAAGGCGTTTTTAGGAAAGAGCCGGAGATAGTGGTTCTATATTGCAAAATGTAATCCAATGGATCCGCGCTATCTTGACAAGGGGCGAGGCAGAGTTGAAACTGCTAAATGATGAATGGAAAGACGAAGCTTTCGGCGGAAACTTAGCAACGGGGAATGTGCGTCATAAGTGACACCGGCGTCTTTAACGACCGGATAGCTCTAATTCCTGGGGACTCCAGGCCGCCCCCTCTGTTTCACGGAAAGATACCCAAGCGAGACACTGACAGGGATTTTAGAGACAGTGAAGCTAAAATACCAATCGCTAGTAGCGGAGAGTTTGTGACAACCCACACTCACACTCAGCGAAAAAAATCAGCACGGCATCTAAAAGCACCGTCCGCTAAGTTCCGAGTTTTTATCCCGGGTATCTAGTTTTTTTTTTTTCATTTTGGGAAATCCTGATTTTGACTGCAAAATCCTGATTTCATAATTTTTCCAAATCCTGATCAAACCCTGATTTTTTGCGGTGAAAAAGAAGCGAATGTAACTTCACAAAAATAGCTCGATAAAACAATCCGATCGGACGGCCGACTTTTCTCAAATCCTGATTTTACGACCAATTTTTCCTCAAATCCTGATGAAATCGAGATTAAATCCTGATGGAATCGGGAAAATCCTGGTGCTAGACACCCTGTAAAATTTTCCTGACAAAAACGGCCAAAAAACTGGGGAAAAATTTAAAATTTTCTGACAGACAAAAAAGTACCTATGTTTCTAGGGTATATAAATAAATAAATAATAAAAAAAACTCTTTCTTTTCCTGTATTTCAACCAGTTTCAACAGGTTTACAAAAAAAAATCTCTCAACGCACATCTGTGAACTCCCGTAAAATTCGTGGAGAAAAAGAAGATGAAAATCCCACAATCCACCATTACATGCAGGAAGTTGTGCATAAGATACCATGCTCTAAGATAATACCTACTTTATTTACTTATATCCTGAAACTTTTCAACCAATTAGTCTAAGTAATTTAGAGGAGTCATCAAGTTCACTCATCACAACGCATTTATGAGCAGGGAAGCGGCACAACAGCAATCAGGATTACTGGGCCCAAACTTTTAAACACCGCCATCTTAATATCTAGCGCGAATAGTTTGCTCAACATAATAAGTCATGCCACTGGGTGGATGTATGCATGAAAAGCGCCAGAAATCTTCCCTGGGGTGATTCGTTAAATTGATCTATCGTGCATATTTAGAAGAGTCTTAAGTATTTATCCATAGAATATAATTTCTATGCTTAATTCCTACTTTCTTCTCGGCACTCATAGGAAATGTGTTGCGAGACTAATCTTTCTTTGACCATATAAGTTTGTTTAACTGACAGGAGTGACTTTGATCTTCTTGAGACTAGTCGCCTAGTTCTGCCTGACTACTAGGGAATGACTGACAGTTAACCAAATACTATCAACTACACCTGCTGCTAGGGTCTCTTTCACTAGAAGCATAAGGAGATAAGCAGGGATCAAATGCTCATCTTAAATTTTTCTGAGTAATCAATAAAGTGCTGTGCAAAGCAAAATTGGTCGATCTCCACCCCAATTTTGCAAAGATGAAAAATTTTCAAATCATTCTAATCAGAAATAGACTTTTTTTGGACTAGGTAAAAGTCTGGGAAAATTCAGGAAAAAAAGAAAAAAATTTGAAGAAACTCCCATTTCTTAATCTACTTTGTAGCTTTACACAGTTGCTTAGCGGTGTGATACTTATATTTGATTTTTAAGATGCTGATTCTCCTTGCGAGGGGGAGGGACTGATAGATTTGAGGAAAATTAAGATGTGATTGAGAGGCAAGTAAATGAATAACACATGGGGCTACTATCTTATCCTACAGATCTGCAACGCCACATGTCAACATTCTAAAGGTTCTCAAACAGGTATATTCTGTGACGAGCAGGGCATGGTCTTTTTGATGAGGAAATGTATCATAACACGATATGACAGATAAAAGTACAACATAAAGTCAGTGTCATTTTTGCATCTTCTCTGTCTAAATACTTCAGAATACGAACCACCTCTGATTATATGAAACTGAGATTAGGTAGGCATTTGGAAACCGTTTAATCAAGAGAAATCTTTTGGTCATCAAGGTGATCAACTTTTCGAGAGATGGAAAAGGTAAGTATCCATGCTTTCATCTTTGACTGTCTAAATTAAAGAAACCACCACATAAAATAAAAGTAAGGTATTGACTAACCTTAGCGGCTCCTCACAGAGTAAAGATTCATGACTTCTAAGAAGTCCCAACCCTACCTGATGATTTCTCCGAATGAAGAGAACAGCAATTTTTTAGCCCAGAATTAATTATCTTATTGTAAACAATGCTTTTTTTACCTGACCAAACATTAAACTCTTAGAGTCATCAATAAGCAGTGCTCCTCATTCCAAGCTATAAATTTATGGCCAAATCGGTACGCGTCAAACATAACGATTAATCAGTATGTATTCATGCTACAAATTAATGGGTGGGAGTTTCTTCAGGTAAAAATTTACCTCAGTATCTGCCTCTCATTTTGAAAATTTTCTGCTTGATTGGAAAAGAAAAGACAACTGATTGCTGGAGATTGACAAAGTAAGTCATGAAATTATCTAAGTTGAGTGCAAGGTGACTGATCAGTGATCAGCCCAATCAGCAATAAACCTAACCTCACTTAATGAATCAGCAATACCGAAACACTTTCATTGAACCAAATGCAAAAGAATTCTAACACTGAAGCATGGAGCTGTATGATCTGAAGTTAGTAAAGAGAGATGCTAGTAATAAAATACTAGAAAATGCGTGGAAAACAGCCACGCATTCATAGCTTGTATTGGAATTCAAGCGTTGTTTACAACAACCCCGCCCTCTTCTACCGCGTTCGTTACGCAAAGGTGTTACACAGGTGCATTGGAGAGAGATTTCCGAGAACACGCAAATAGAAATCGGGAACATAAAAATTAAGATAGAAAATAAATATTCACCCCAACTGATGGGCGTCCTTCCGAAGTATTCATGCGTTTCTGGGTTGTAGAGAAATCTTTTGAGTCGAACATTGAAGGGTAACTCCTCGGGCTTGAAAGAAAACTGAACCGAGTTCAACGAAACACGTTTATCCTTCGTCATTTTATATTAAATAGATCACTTAAACTACACTAAAGTATGAACACTGCGCTTAGCAAGAGGGGATCACTAAACTATGAACATTTTGAGTATAGAAGAGGATAAAAATTACACGTCTCCAAGCGGATGAAAGCACGTAAACACTGATCTGGCGGCCCGTTCGCCGTTGCGATGCCTATTCCTCGACAACCAAACACGACAGAGTCTCCACCTGCCACGTTGCCTTGCCTCACGAACAATAGAACTTTCCCTTGCACTGCACCTCTCAACTCCACACCTCACCTGTGAATTCCTTGAAGATTCCAGACAGAATTCCAGGTTTCCGGATGACACATATTTGCCCGCCGGCTGGAGCGGTGGCGCTTATCCCCGGAAGCGGAGGTTTCCCGCAATTAGCAAAAGATGAATGAAGCTGCAGTGGGGTGGGAGACGGCAAGGGCCAATCACAGACTGTCACACTACGCATCGTAGTACTCACGTCTTATCGTGAGTACTACGATGTTTACTATGCACTTCACCCTCTTTTTGAATTGACGTAATCTGCCAGTTCGTCCCTTATCTATCTTCGCCGAGAGGTGAGGGGCGCATTGCGTTGATTTGACATAGTTTTATGATTTCGCCACTCCTAATACGATCGCAAAATATCTTTCAACATTTGCAACTGTGGTTGCAGTTTTTCCCCCTTTTGTAGCATCGATTTTGAGCTTGTGTCAAGCGAGAGAGGAATTAATTTAGGGAGCTTTGGCTAATTTGAAACTTCCGTCCGATTGTTTTTTTTTTTTTTTTTTTTTTTTTTTTTTTTCAGTAGCATTTAATTACGTCGAAAATTGAGAACTTTTTCCACATTATCTGTAATTCAGAGTGATTAGAAAAATACCATTAATTTATTTATCTTTTTGTTTTTAACGAAGTAAATTTAAGAATTCCGCGGAAACTTTTCATCATTGATCGATTTTCTGCGTGGATGATGGGAGAAAAAATTATTCAGCGGCAAAAATAAATGAAAAATGTCTTGATAAATATTTGCGCAATAATATAAAACAATGTTTTCAGACACACAACAAACGGATGTATACTATGGACAGATTATTCCATTTGACCAGAAAAATCTCATCGTCAAACAGCGGGTAAAATCTATTAGAGATAATAATTTCCTATGAATATATTTGCCTGCTAATTATTCGAAAATGACCTCGTTTTTGCTCTACTATACACCAGTTTCCCGAAAAATTCATTCCTCTTCGAGAAAAACCCTTTTTTAAAGAAAATTTCGATTTTGTGAAAAATTGGTGGGCATAGCTATAAAATTAAAATTACTTTTGGACTCAACCTTAGAAATTTAATTGGAGTCAACAATCAAATCCCCTTCCATTTTTTCGTTGCAAACCTCTGTAGTTAATCGGCTGTTCAGGTCATTGTATTTATTACTATTCTGTGTGGTTGTTTTATTATAAACTTTTCTTGGGTTGTGTATTAGCAAGGTCCTGTTGTTTGTTACCTACCCAAGTAGGCTAGAGTATTTATAAGCGTATTACATTCATGAGTTGTTCTGTCTGAAAAACGGTTCAGGAGCTTCCTTCTACTCACTTGCAACTGTTTGAATCACTCAAGCCCGGTTCTACCACCTCCCAAGTCTTACAATGCAAAATTTGAGATGCCCGGAATTTTAGGACTTGATCGTAAATTTCATGGTCTGAATGAAATTTTTGACCCCAGTGGAACATGTTGGAACTATAAATCTTGAGTTTCGGTTAAAATTCAAGAGACACATAAAATGCCTGTTAAATTTTAACCTGGTATTATGGAAGCCTCATTGGCATTTCCAGACAAGAAGGATACGCGCGTTGGTAGCTCGCCTTCAATTTTCGAGGTAGGCAAAAGGACCTCCTCTGCGTGTAGGTAGCAATAATTATCAATTCGAGAATTCGTGTCTTAAATGTTGCACATATCTTGCCGCGCAGTAAATTATGCAACTGTTAAACTCCACCTGATATTTTAAGCTAACTCTATTTTTCAATTCAAATCTTCATGACTGATGCTAACTACATACATATAATTGAAAAAAAAAATTGTCGATTATTAATCACCCAATCAATGTCTAAAATTCATTTGGTTAAGTTAGCGAAATACAATTTTACGATGAATGGAGGATTCGTTCAATTTCCGTTCAGACGCTGCTGGGTCTAATTTTCTAAAACTTCAGTTTTGTATTTATTCTTTTCTTTTCAGTAACACTACCTACAATATGCGCAGGCAATTTTGATTTTGCAAGTTAGCAACACTGTTTTGGCTCCATTTAAATCCAATGAAAATATCGATTTCAAGTGAGGCAAGCTGCCTCGCCAAGAATCGATTGTTTCATATGCATCGAAACGGAGGGAAAATAGTCTTGCCAACGTTCATGATATGAACCATCGCTGTGCGGAGGATGATCTGAGAAGGGTAACATCTTCATTTCTAGGCACGTCCAGTGGCATGGCGTGCTTTGCGATATATCGATTAATCTATCATTTAAACCTATAGAAAATGATCGCTTGACAGGGTGCTCGCAGCGAGCACCTTAGTAATCGATTCTTTACCACGGATTCAAATGGGAGAAATATCGATAATCGATCATTCGCGCCACGCCACTGGGCACGTCCTCCGACGAAATTAGACTTGAGATCCCTCTTAGCGCATACCACGAATGGTTTAAATGTTGATTGCAAAAAAATAATTGCAAAAAAGATGTGCTCTTTTAGAAATGACGCGCGGGGGTCTGCGCTTGGAGGTAAATTCTATTCAGACGCTTATGCCAATTTGAATGCTCCGGTGAGCGCCCGTTTTGAAACAATGAAACTGGCTTTGATCAATATTCTCGCCATACTGCCGTGCTAAGGAAGAACGCCGTATAAACCTTCAGGCGTTGCCAAACTTCCTGTGGTAAATCCCGAATTCTCAGGAAAATTTGTCAATATTTTGCTTCCGATTCTTCATATAATTTTGTTCACAATTTCACCTAAAGTTTCTGAAAATTTCAAGGACAAATATTCATTGCTTCCCCCAAAAATAAACATTTCATAGAAGGAAATTTGGCAACTCTCGAATATTCTTACGGCGTTCTTCCTTAGCACGGCGGCATAGCCAGCCGTGCAGTATGCATCTCTTAAAATATGCTCTGTTGAATAATGAGAGGCAAGACGCAAGAACCTAAACGTGCCGTTGTCAGATATCCTCAAAAAATTGAATCCTGCTCGGTTCCTTGTCCAACGTCACGAAGAGAGGCATTCGCGAAATCCCTTATAATTTCTCGAGAGGGCTAAGTGAACTTCTGGAGGAGTGGCGGGGGCCTGGGGGGTCGCTGCTCCTCAACCCGTATGAGGTTAATTCTGCGATGGATCGGTTGATCTGTTATACGGGGTGATCTAGGGTAAAACGGACAGGCTGCTGCGGCCCGATTATTGAAATTATGTCGGCCCGAAGCGACAAGTCATAGCCCTATCTTAACCATGCAATATATCGCAATTCGATGTCTTATCGGGCTGCTTTAAACTTTCAATAATCGGCCCGCAGAAGCCGAAACACCTCCAAACCCCCTCTTTAAATTGAGATTTCGATTTTTTTTTTGATCATTTATGAATTCAAGGCATAAAAGTACAGAGGCGTACAAATTTTCATGAGATTTGGCTCAGAACCGTTGCCAAAATTCAGAAAAAAACGATTTCGTTCCGATTTTTTTTTTCGGTGGGGGCGTAGCTCCGGCTGAGAGCACTTTTGGAAAAAACTTTATACAACAAAAAGGTCTTATGTTGACCCATAGAGCTCGCTTCTGTAGTTCAATTGATCAGTTCAGTTGCTCCTGAATCGATTGACCAGTTGTACAGGGTGATCTAGGGTTAAACGCGGCAAGACTGCAGGAGCCGAAACACCCCCAAACCCTCTTTAAATTGAGATTTCAATTTTTTTAGGGCATTTATGAATTTTAACCCGTTTAACTCTCGCCGTTTAACCCCGGATCACCCTGTATAAACTCATGGAAAATGATCGAGTATCAGGGTTTTTAATATCAATAATCGACGATTCTTACCGAGGTCCACTGGAAAAAAGAAACACATTGGATCTAGAGTCCAGACTCTTAAAAACATCGACAAGAAAAAATACTCTTGATTCAATCATATTTAAGCCTCAATCAAGAACCAAGCCTCTTAATTTGAGCGGATTTCCTTTTGATTTAAGCTTAAATCTGATTGAATCAGGAGTCCTTTTTCTTGTCAATGTTTTCAAGAGTCTGGACTCTAGATCCAATGTGTTTTTTTCCCAGTGTCCGTAGGAGTGCATGTGACATGTGACAACGAGGCGCTTATAGCCCGGAGTGAGGGTTTTAATTAACACTGGCGCACGCGCATCGCGAGAATTTCTGTACATAAATTAGTCATATCTAATTAGTTCCATTGAAGATGCTCCGTGGTCGGGCGGGGGGTGAGGGGGGGGGCAGTGAGGGCGACAGAGCAAGCACCCGGCAGATGACTCCCGATGACCCCATGAACTTGAGTCGCCTCCAGATCCAGATTGACATAAGTGGATTACGACGAAACTGTATTGACCGAGTATTGCCTCCCAAGTCCGACCCGCAGCAAACGCACTTGACCTCGCATCCGCACTGCGCTCTTCGGCTTTCCTCCTCTATGTCCGCACCGCGCCCCACCAATTTTCACCATGCGAGGATTCTTAAAGCAGACTTACGGGCTGTAAAGACATACCGTCCGTTCCGGGCTCAGAGACCGAAACTTCCGGGTACTGAAGCCGTAGCTTCGATTGCTCCGGGTGCCACGCCCGGAACTTTCGGCCCCTGAGCCCGGAGCGTGGACGGTATGTCGATGGCCCGTAAGAACGGTTTCCACGGCCGGAGTTTTTTTCAGTGTACAAAATGGAGACCCTCTCCAAGTAGCTGAGGACGCCATGGGGAGCTCAAAGAGCGGGGAAGCTGCATTTCAACGTTCACTGGGGAAAAAAAAACACATTGGATCTAGAGTCCAGACTCTTGAAAACATTGACATGAAAAAATACTCTTGATTCAATCGGATTTTTGCTTGAATCAAAACGAAATCCGCTTGAATTAAGAGGCTTGGTTCTTGATTGAAGCTAGATCCTGACTGAATCAAGAGTACTTTTTCTTGTCGATGTTTTTAAGAGTCTGGATTCTAGATCTAATGTGTTTTTTCCCCCCAGTGTTTTTATATTAATGGGCAATTATTTTGGTCACTTTGAATCAATTTAAAATCCTCTCCTCCTTTTCTAGAAGAAAACTTGCCAGGGAACTA